ACTGCAAAGGGGACCCTCAGGTGGGAGAGGACAGGAGGCAGCTGGAGTGAGCCACTCACCCCTGGCTGCCCCACTCACACCTCTCGAGCTATGCCCTGGGTATTACTGAGCAGAGGGATGTGGCAGCTCCCAACACTGCCCAGGCTTCAGGAGGCAAAATGAGAGAGGGGCCGGGAGATCTGCAGGACCAAAGGGTGCAGCGTTGGGCTGGGCTGGGCGCAGGCCCAGGGAAATGGGGTGAGGATGGGCTGGGTAAGACCCGGCCCTCCACTGCCCTGAAGACCACCCCAGTCTACCTCGGTGCTGGCCAGGAAACCTATTGGCTACCTCTCCCACCAACCCAGACTGTGGGCAGGGGGGTGGGGAGGGAATGGGCCTGGGCTTAGGACCACCCCCCTCCAGAATTTCCTCCAGATGGGGCAGTGCCCAGGGAGGGGTTATTTGTCTTCCCTGTTACGGAGGGGGAATCCCCAGTCCAGGCCCTAGGCCCCTCAGCAGGGAAGGGATCCTCGGGGAGGAGGGTCCCAGGAGCAGACCCTGCCCTCAACCCCCACAGACACACCCCAATCTGAAAGCCATGCGTGTCCGTGTATATAGGAACTATGTACAGAGCCCGGAGAAGCCCCCCTTCATCCCCCGGGGGAAAAAAAAAAAAACTAGACAGAAACTCATCTATATATTCTGTATCTGGAGTTCCGTTTTGAATATTAACTGTGTTATTTTTATACACTTTTTAAGCCTTAACTCGCCATTGATTTACCAGTTTAACGTTTCCTGGGTTTTTTTTTCCCCCCACGGGGTTCTCTGCCCCCTTGTTTGACTTGCGTCGTCTGATAACTCAGTATTGTAGCTTTTTGTCCGCATGTTACTACCCTGTAAATACGCTGTTATACATACTGTTAACACCCCATTTGCTTTTTTCTATGGGACCTCCAGGCCACCATATTTAGAACTAGTTACCTTATTAAAAAAGAGAAAACAGTCTGTTGGCTTCTCAGTCTGCATCTTGGTGGCAGGGAGGCAAGGGCAGGTGCCCCTCAGTGCTTCAGGAAACAAGTTTGCATTAGATTTAAGAAAGGGGTGGGGAGCAAAATAAAAATCGAATGTGGGGGAAGACACTAAACGGGGCAAGAAACAAAGGAATTCCAAACCCTCTGCTCTTTGTATTTCTCTGTTGTGAAGAATAAACTGTACCCGCACCCGGGCGGCGGTGGCGTGTGGCGTGCTCTGTGCGAGGGCAGGGCTGGGGGGCACCTTTCCATTGCTCCTCTCCCCTCCCCCGCCCCCCAGACTTGGGGAGGAAGGGACATGGCCCCTTACTGTGGGCTAGCCTCACCCCAGCTGCTGAGCCAAGTGCTTGGTGTTGGTTACCTTACAGCCCTCTGTATGTGTGTGGGGGGGGGGGCGGTCAGCAAACCAAGAGGGGTTTTTTGCTGAGGCTCAAGTTGCAATTAAGTGGCAGGAACACAAATTTCACCCATGTTGGTCTCATTCTGAGTGAAGCCTTTTAGGATGGATGGGGTCCACTGGTGAGGTTCACAGCTCCCACTCCCAGAGGGGCAGCCACATCCCGTTACCCTGCGTACTGTTGGGGGTCCATTATGAATGTCTGGACTTGTGGGAGCAATTCCAATGATTGAGGGAATGAAGAAGCCCCCTTTGCATACATCTTAGCCATGTGGGTCAGTGTTTTGATTGCCTGAGAGGGAAATGGAATTAATTCCCCCAAAGTTTACCAAGGCTGCCCCTCGGCTGGGCATCCTTAGACAGAAGTGACTCTACCAAGAGTCACCATGGAGCTCACCTTCAGGAATTCACCCTGAGCCCTCACAGGCCTTGGGTGTCAAGACTTGGCTCCAAGTGATAGAAAGCCCAATCCAAACACGGATTTATTGGGTTACATAACAGAACAGTGCGGGTGTGAGGCCAGCCTCAGGGCCCAGTGGTGTCTCCAGCTCTCCACATGGCTTTGTTCTCAGAGTCAGTTTCATCATCTGGCTCCTGTGGAGTCAACAGCTCCAGCCTCCAGGCTCGATTTCCAGCAGTCTTTCTCCCAGAAGCCCCAGGAAAAGTCTGACTGGGTCTTCCATAAAGGAGATGTGATTGGGACTGGTTTAGGTACCATCCCCGAACCAATCACTGTGACCAGAACGTTTGTACTTGATTGGCTGAGACCTAGAGCCCGTTTCTCTAAGTCTGGAGCAGAGGGTAAAACCTCAATCTGTAGTACATCTCCCCAAAAGGAAACCAGACGTGTTAACATCTGGAGGGGGAAATAGGTGTGGAGTTGCCAGGAACATGTTTTGGACAACTTCACAGGCCTCATCGTCTTCTCTGAAATCGACCTCCCGTGGCCTTCTGTGCTGTGAAGGGCAGCCATGTTTATATCACATGACCCGATCCCGGCCAAAACTGATTGGCCAGCGGTGGACACCTGACTCCGCTGCGGGAGCCTTAGACCAGAGCTACCCAGTGGCGCTGGTGGTGTGTACTGGCAATTATGGTTTATGAGAGTAGACTGGGCACACCTCTTCCCAACTCCACGTTCAGTGAATGTTGTACTTTGAAATCAGCCATGGTGGGATTCATACAACAGAAACTGGCAAAGGCTGCAAGGGGGCTTTCTTATTCCGGAAGAGTCAGTTGCTAAATGCTTACCAGCACACCACTGGCTCTCCAACCAGCTTCCCCAGTCCATGGTTGCGAGTAAGTCAGGAGATGGTGGACTCCTGAACCTAAAGACCGTGTGGTCCAGGGGTTTGGGATGTGTGTTTGGCCAGACACAAGCAGGACAGAGGCAGATAGAAGCAGACAGAGATGGAGGGAGTAGCCGGAGAGCTTGTGTCAGACTCAGTTCCTGACTTCCCGTCTCCATCCTCTGGCCAGGTTTTAATTTCCTGCTTGTTCTCACATCAGCGAGTTTAAGTTATGGTGTGACATGGAGCAAGTTACATATGTAACCACTCTGTACTCAATTTTCTCATATGTATGATAAGGGACATAATAGTAACCAATCTGTAGGGTGGATGTGAGGATTAAATGAATCCATATATGTCTAATGCCTAGAACTGTGCCTGGTACATAGTTAAGTACCAGTGAATTTAATCATGACTATTACTATTTGATGTGGCCTTGGTCAATCTAAGTCCCTTATGATCAGTGAAGCCTGACTAGACAGCTAATGATGATTGGCAATTTCAGGGGGTGGCACCTGAGCTGGCCTGGCAGGGTGCGGCAGCAGGGCCAGGTGAAAATTTGACATGTAGGAGCCACACTCCGAGGACTGGGAGTCTGCTTTTCACCTGCCCGCCTGGAAGCCCTCGGAAGCTTCCACTGCCTCTGAGGCCCCCAGCAGGTGCTGAGGACAGTGCTGATTGACAGTGACATGGATGGAGGTGGCTGCAGAAAGAGCTTAGCCCCGCCTTGTGATTCCTGCTGCTGCCCCAAGTGCCTCTAATGCCCCAAACCCCAGTGAGGGCTTCTGGGTAAGACAAAGGAGAGGGACACTCCCAAGAGGTCGTCTGTTCCACGGTGCAGCTTCCTTGACCCTTCCCTGTCCTCAGGAAGGTCTCCACCCACAGCACGAAGCTGCCGCAGCCTAGCACATGGCAACCCCTGCCTGTGCCATCATTTCCTCTTCAAGACAGGAAATGGCTGTTCTCTTGGCAGAGCCTTTGCACTGTGAACTTGCTGGAGAAGGGGAAAGGAAGGAGAGGGAGAAGGCAAATTACGTTTCCTGGAGCACCACAACAACCTCCACAAGGAGGGTGATCGACATCCCCACTTGACATATGAGAAAACTGAGACTCAGCAAAGGTAAGGGACTTGTCCACAGTCACGCACAGAGTGAGAAGAGGAAGAGACTCCCTCCTCCCCGCACCCAGCCAGATCTTCCTAGCTCGTGCTCAGGTCTCTCATGGCCCACGGGTGGTGAAGGTCGGTGGGGGTGGCCCTCAGTGAATATTACAGGGTAAGGTGGTGGACAAGTGCCCACCAGAGGAAGGGATGTTCCAGTTCAAAGTCATCAAGCGATAACCTGTTCTTAGGCACACCTAGCCTGTTCTTGTCTCTCATCCAGAATCCAAATGGCCTTCTGGGTTTTGCTAATCTAGTTTGGGGTGGGAGGCACTGGGGGACTTCAAACTGTTTTTGAGAGGGGAGAGATCTCTTAAGTCATACCATGAATAAGTGGAATTTGCTTGTAGAGATGATCAGATTGTGAAAACCATCAGGGGTGATTTATCCCGGAACTGCAGTCCTTTGGAGGAACAGTGGAGGCTGTTAAAAATGCAAGGTCTTTGAGAACACTATGTAAAGGATTCAGGGGACCTGGGGTGAAATCCCACCCTCCCAGGGCCTCAGTTTTCCCAACTGCTGCCTTCCCTGTCTCCTTGGCACTGTGACCACCGTTTCTGGAGGGCCTGATGATTTCACCTCCTGTTCAGAGCCTGTGTTTCTCCCCCACTGAGGATGAAGACTCTGGATAGCGGTCCTGGGTAAGGAATCTTACCCGTCAGATAGCCCTATTGGCCCTGCATCAAGGAAATGCCCTTTTTGCGGACAGTCCAGGAGAGAGGGCCATAAAGACACTTGGAATAATTTTATTACAATATTACTTAAATATGTACAAACTGTGCTTGAGGGCAGGGGAGGTGGAAGGGCAAAGCCAAGAACTCAGATGCCACCACGTTTCTCCTGCAGCGGAAGCTTTCTCCTTTTGGCCCAGAAGCTATTGTCTTTTCAGAGCGAGAGCCAGGGCTGGCTGTGCAGCTGCTGCCCAGACTGACTCACAGATTCTCTGTGTCCTCAGGCAGCTTTGTTCCCTTTTCGTGTCTCAGTCTCCTTATCAAAAAGGGGGTTGGGGATGGCGGTGGGTGACGGGCTAAAAGAGCTCTCCTGGAGGCATCAGCCGAATCCAGTAAGGTCAAAGGTGAAAGGTGTAGAGGCAGCCTGGCCAAGGCGCTACTGCCCCGTCGATGCTGCTGTCGTCATCCGTCCCTGTAGAAAGTGGGGGAAAGGAGATCTTTCCCTCCCAGCGAGAAACTCCTCAAAGGCCACGGTCCTCCTCCCACCGCCACGATCCCACGGCCACGCCCCTGGCCGAAGCGGGCAGGGCTGTTTGCGTCCAAGCTCTCGCCGCCCTCCGGGGCGCCCGCACGGCTTCCGGGACCCCCTTCCTGGCCCGGCGGGGCCTAGTCGCGCAGCACGGCGTACTCCTTGGGCGCCCAGAGCAGGCGCGGTCGGCGGATCTCGGCCCGGCGGCCGATCTCGGGGCTCCAGCAGAACTCGGGCGACAGCACCTTGGCGGGCTTGTGCAGCCAGAAGAACTTGTTGAGGTGGCTCTCGTCGTGCCAGCGCGCCTCCAGGCCGCGCTCGCGGTCCCGCCGCAGGCCCCGCACGCAGTGCGCCGTCAGTCCGCGCAGCGCCGCCACGCTGCCCCCGAACACCGCCGCGTGGTAGTAGAAGTCGCCGTCGCCCGGCGCCAGCGCGGCGGCGGAGCGCGCGTCGCGCTCGTAGGGCAGCAGCCGCCGCGGCCAGTGGTAGTGCCAGGCGTGCAGCTGCGCCACCGACTCGGCCAGCACTTCGGGCCCGAAGGCGCCGCGGAAGTGCTGGTCCACGTCCATGCAGAGCACGAAGTGCGCCTCGCGGCCCAGCTGCCCGCCCAGCGCCTCGTGCAGCGTGTGCATACGCTGCATGGACACGTCTTGCCAGCGCCGCTCGCGGGCCACGCGCACCACGCGCAGCCGGCGGCCGGGCGCCAGCGCCACGCGGGGCACGGCGGCCGGGCGCTCGGTGAACACGTAGTACACCACGCGCTGGCCCAGCATGAAGTGCCGCTCGGCCGTCTCCAGGAAGCGCGCCAGGTACTTCTCCAGGTACCTGCCGGACGGGCGGGGCGGGTCAGGCTGAGTGCGGCGCCCACCGGGATCCCGCTCCCGGCGCCGGCCCCCGCTCCACTCCGCAGTCCTCCAACCGCAGCTTTCCCGGCGGGCACAGATGAGTGCAGACTGCTCGCCTCTCCTGCCCAGAGGGGCCCTGGGTTCCTTCCCTTGAACGTGGGCTCCCACTACCTGCCTGGATCAACAGGGTGTCGCGGCACAGAGGCTGTTCTGGCCCTTTGGTCGACTGGGGGCGTTAGCCCTTGCCTCGTTAGGGCTCCGAGCCTTTGCTTACGAAGTCAGAGCCTTGATGCCGCAGGGACCTGAGGGAGCCCAGCTAGCTGCGCAGAAGCCTGCGTGGAGACAGTGCCCCACCGGTGTTCAGCAGTTGGCCATCCCAGGGGAGGCTCAGACCCTGGGGAGCAGCAAAGAGCCCTTCCTACGGAGCCCTGTGGGAATTCCTGCCCACAGAATCAGGAGCTATAATAACAGCTGTTTTCAGTCCCTTACACAGATAACCAGGATGGTCCCTGTGTGGGGAAGGAACGGTCCTGCCCTCTTCCTGGGAGTCTGGGACAAGAGGTGCTGTCTTTGACTCCTTCACTTGAGGATCTTGTGGCCCACGGGGTTCCCCAGCCCTACATCACATGCACACCTGTTCTACTCCCTGGCTGGACAGCATGGCACCCCTCCCCAGGCCTTACCTGCCTACAGCAAAGACAGTCAGACCAATGGTGAGGTTCTGCTGTAGAGCCTTTTGCTGGGCTGCAGCTGGGTCGAAGGTGCCATCCCAAATAATGGGGGCCCCCCAGGAGGTACAGGTCAGGACATCAGGCCGGGCCCTGGCCAGGGTAGGGATGGAGAGATAGGTCCATTCGTCCACCCATTTGGTGCACGTTCACTGGGTGCAGTGACCCCAGCCCTGGGGACCCACAAATGGTTGTGTCCCAGCCCCTGTCCCTAGAGATCCCTAGCCTAGATCCGATAGGGAGGATCGGGAGATGTGTGACCTGATGGGGCCACCGGAAGGAGTACCCGGTCCCGCTGGGGTGAGGGATGTGAGGAGGGCAGGGCCACTGGGCCAGAGCTCTGGAGGGTGTGTGGGCGTTGGCTCCTTACCAGGGATTCAGGAGACCCGTGAAGTTGTCTCTCAGCAGGGCCTTTCTGGCAGAAGGGCAGACGCCCATGGGGATGAGGGCTTCCAGATGCCTGTGGGGTGGGGGCGGCAGTGAGGGAGGGGCATGACAGCCCAGCTCAGGGCCCCTCCACTTTGCTCTTTGTAAGGAGGGAGAGCCCACAAGGCCAAATGTGCAGCCAAGACAGGCACCACCCCCACCCGCACTTGGAAGGAGCCTCTTTAACCCTGACCCTGCAGGTTCCCACACTGAGCACTGGGAGAGAGGGGTTGTACCTGACTATGGGGAGCCCATACTGGAGCAGCCCTAGGAGGCCCAGCGCAAGGAGGATCAGCCAACAGAAGATTCTCTTCCAGGTCCTGGGTGGTGGGGAAGGGCATTAGCAACTCATTTATATACACGCATACACCTGAGAAATGTTTATCTAATTTTAATGTTTCATGTTTACTTTTGAATACAGATCTACCCTATTCGCATGGCACAGACATTCAGAGGTACAAAAGAGTATACACAGTGCAGTCTTTCCTGGTCCCAGCCACTCAGCCGCTCTGCGTGGAGGCAAGCCAGTACCACTCTTTTCTTGGGCCTCCTTCCAGAAGTGGTCTGTGCGTGTACAGGCAAATATAAACGTGGTAGTACAGCAGATAGGCTGTTCTGCTTCTCGCACTTTCCACTACCTCCACCGACCATTGTCTTTGAGGTTTTTCCCTCTCGGTATCCTAAGGGCTTCCTGACCCTTTTCCCCAGCTTCCTGATAGGCTGTTGATTGCATAAAGCCAAGCACTTCGAGCAAGGCCTCACACATAGTGCCAGCTCGGTACACTCTGGCTATGCTCTTACTCTTCTTCTTCCGGAGCGGACCTCCACGATGCCCTGGACATCCTCCCAACTCCACTCGCTGCCCTACAAGTCCTTCCAGAGTCTGGCTCCCCCAGTCTCTTTCAAGAAGCCTGCCTGGTCAGACGCTCCTGCCTCCTGACCGCCTCTGCTACCCCTCTTTGCTTTTCATCAGCAGGTGTCTCTAGTAGGTAGCTCGGGAGAGGCGTCTCGAGGTGGCGGTGATGTGTGCGTGCCTGCATCCACCTGCCCACCAACTCAGCACATGGCCCCTCCTTCTGCTTGGTTGGCCAAGCCAGAAACCTGGCTGCTCCCCACTCCTCCCTCTCCCTCACCCTCATCTGCTGTCAGTCCCCAGGTTGGGTTGACTTGGCCTCCTTGACGACCTCCCCAAACCTGCGCTCAGCTCCTGCTGTGCCCCCAGCACCCCCCAGTGACTCTGCCTGCACGCCTGTCCCTGGGGTCATTGGGACACAAATTTCTCTGCTCCCAGCCACTCCCCACACGGCCCCCAAAGCCATTCTGGAAAATGCCCGCCTGCCTTAACAGTGTTCCTATCACACGACCAGTCTTCCAAGAAGAAATGCATCCAGGAGGCAAATAAGTGCGGAAATGTTCACCCTCACTAGTAACCAAAGACATACAAATTAGAACAGGCTGGCATGTTTTACCTATGAAATGAGCTTTTTTTTTTTAAGGATTTCATTTATTTATTTGAGAGAGAGTGTGTGAGAGAGAGAATGAGCATAAGAAGTGGGAGGGTCAGAGGGAGAAGCAGACTCCCTGCCGAGCAGGGAGCCCGATATGGGACTTGATCCCGGGACTCCAGGATCATGACCCGAGCCGAAGGCAGCCGTTTAACCAACTGAGCCATCCAGGTGTCCCTAAAATGAGCTTTTTAGAAAGAAAGAAAAAGAGCAGCACTGCAGGGATACAGCGAGATAGATGCTTTCACACTGCCAGCGGGGGTGAAGGCTGCTAGGTCTTTTGTGGGGAGCTCCTTAGCTCTGGGAATTGAATCCCCTTTTATCCAATCTCCCCAACTTCTGGGAACCTGTTCAGTATGGAAAAAGTTGGTGCATGAAGATGTTCATGAGTTTCTGCTTATTCCAGCATTCACTCTGTATTTACTAGGCACAAGCTCAGAATCAAGCACTTGCTAGGTCAAAGCTTCTGAGCTGAGCGAGGCACAGATCTTGTCTTCAGGGAATGGAGTCAGGAGGATGTGGGTAGTCAGGAAGAGAGGGAAGGGGTCAGATGACAGATGGTGAAGAGATGAACACAGCACAGTGAAGGCTGCAATTAGTAATAATACAAGATGCTCTGAGGGCAAATTGGAGGGTGGCAACTGAGCCTTGAAAAATGGGGAGGAAGTCAGGGAGGCTTCCTGGAAGAGGTGGCCTCTCTCAAGAAGGCAGCAGAGCGGGGAGGGAGGCCTATGAGAAGAAAACGAACAATGTACAAAAGTGAGAGATGAGAGGAAGCTTGGGGTTTGCACCACGCTGCGGGCCATTCTGCAGGGTGCAGTGCAGGGAGGAGTGGGGAGAGGTGAGGTGGGAGGTAAGCCAAGGCGAGATCACACCCCAACTTGCATTCCACGCAGAGGGGTATCATCTTGAGAACCCCTGGGAGCCCTGAAAGATACTTTCCCCAGGGAGTGGTGCAGTCAGATTTTTATCCGCAGCTGGGCTGTTGAGCCCGGACGCTGGGGGTGCGGGAGCAGGGCTGGAGGCCGGAGGGTTGGCTCCAAGCCATTGTCAGCCCTCGGGGCTAATGGCGATGTGAGCCCGGGTGTTGGTTGTGGGGGTGGGTGGAGGAGTCAGTGGTGAAGGGCTGTCAAGGCAGTGGGCTGGGCAGGACTTGGTCATGGTTCCAGGGCCAGGGGCCTGAGTGTCCCGTGGGGTGGGGAGAGGAGTGAGCCGAGGTGCAGTGGTGGAGGCAGGGGGCCTGGGCAGTTCCCAGAAATGCAACTGGAAAGAGGGAGGAGAACAGGAACCAAAGGGGCGGAGGGGCAGGGTTCTGTGGAGGACCGTGTGTTTCTTTTAGGAGAGGCACTTGGACTTGGCTGGATCCCCACTCGAGGCCCCATGGAGAAGGCCTTGCGTGGGCTGCTGCACAGGCCCCAGCAGTCAGCCCACGGACTGACTAAATCACCCTTTACTGGCAACTCTGTGGTCACATGGAAAAATGCTTACCCAGGAAGCTTCGAGGCCGGGGGGGGGGGGGGGGGGAAGCAGGTTCTAAACTTATTGGGCAGTATGATTATAATTTAGCAGGAATTAAAATATGCACCAGAAAATAAGACTAAAAAAAGGAAAACTTAAAAGTGTCTAGGCAGTAAGTTACAGTAGGGTTTTGTTTTCCTTTATTTTTCCCTTCCAGTTGTTTGTAATGTGCTTATATTGCTTTTTTAATGAAGGAAAAATACAGAGTTAGCCATTTAGAAAAACAACCACCACAACAAAGCTGTGTTAAGGCTTCCTGCTGTGTGCAAGACCGAGTCTGCCCTCTTAGCCCTGTCCAGGGAAGCCTTCAGAGCCTGGCTCTCTCACTGTCCCACGTGAAGTGCTCTCACCTGACTTGGCTTTCCCACCTCTAGAAATGGAGACTCACAGCGGGCAGACCAAGGACAGTCTTGTAGCTGTGTTGGAAAAAGCAAATGGATGTCGGCAACCCCAGTGCTGATCAGCAGGGAACTGGATGTTGAGTTAGGCACATCTATACCACGGAAAGACACGCAACCCCTAAAAGGATGAGGTGGAGGTAGGTATGTGTACTCTCTGGAAAAGAGGTCCTGATGTAGTAAATGGAAAAGGGAACAACAGTATATACAGAGGCTGATCCCACTTCTGGGAGGGGAAAGCCCCCACACCTGAGAACCCAGGCAGTTATAGACGTGCAGATCTGTAGTCTTTTATAAACATGTAGGGAAAGATCTAGGTCAGCACTGTCCAGTAGAAGAACAATGTCGGGGTGCCTGGGTGGCTCAGTCAGTTGGGCATCTGCCTTTGGCTCAGGTCATGATCTGATCCCAGGTCCTGGGATCAAGCCAGCCCTACAATGGGCTCTCTGCTCAGCAGGGAATCTGCTTCTCGCTCTCCCCCTCTGTGTGCTCTCTTTCTCTCAAATGAATAAATAAAATCTTAAAAGAAAAAAAGGAGAATGTGAGCCACATGTATGAATTGAAATTTTCTAGTAGTCACATAAAAAATGTGAAACAGCTGAAATGAATTTTAATAATATTTTAATTTAACCCAATATATCTAAAATATCATTTGAACCTATAATCGATACAAAATTGTGAAGATGTTTTATATTCTTGTTTTGTTCTAAGTCTAAATACCAAATTCAGTGTGTTTTTTAGATTTGTAGCACATTTCAGTTGGAATCAGCCACATTTACGGTGCTTGGGAGCCACACAGCGCTGGTGGCTGCCGTACAGGATGGCATTCAGAAAATGGACCAGTTAGTGGGGGGCTGAGAGTGGAGGGAGGAGGGAATTTCTACTTAATATACGTCTATCACGTTCTACCGTACAATGAGCGGGTGTTCCTTTTGTTGTTGTTAAAGGAGCAATGGGGCCCAAATGGAGTCACTCCTGCTGAGCCCCCCATCAGCAAACCAAACCAATTAGCACCTAACTGCAGTTTCAACTTGTCCCAGAAATATACCTTTAACCAGTCATCTGGAATTCCCTGGTCAGCCCTAGTGAGATTCTCCGCCTTCCCCTAGAGAAAAGTGACCCTGCTTGGACAGTCCATCTTTGCTAGAAGCTTCCTTTCCCCCATCCCCTCCTGCTATAAAAGATTTCCATTTTGTATAGCTCCTCAGAGTTCTGTCTGTTGAGATGAGATGCTGCCCGATTTATGAATCATTAAAGAAAAGCCGGGGCGCCTGGGTGGCTCAGTGGTTAAATCCTCTGCCTTCGGCTCAGGTCATGATCTCAGGGTCCTGGGATCGAGTCCCGCATCGGGCTCTCTTCTCGGCAGGGAGCCTGCCTCCTCCTCCTCTCTCTCTCTGCCTGCCTCTCTGCCTACTTGTGATCTGTCTGTCAAATAAATTTAAAAAAATTCTAAAAGAAAAAAAGAAAGCCAATTTGATCTTCAAATGTACTCAGCTGAATTTTTTTTTTTTTTAACAGATTGGGTGGCACCGACAGGATCAAAGGAGACTTCTGGTGGCTTTGAGGACAATGAGAAACACAGGCATGGTATCCGTGAGCCTTTTGAATTTTCTTTCTCTGTGTTTCTGAGGGAGGGCCTTAGGTAAGTTCCTCTTGGTTTTGAGCTCCACTGTCTTTCCTAATGTCAAACTCCTGATCTCACTGACTTTCTGGTCTGGGGCTGGTCAGCTTGAGCGAGCACAGGGTTCCACCCAGAACCCAAGCCCCAAGCCCTCAGCTTAGTCTGCAATCCCCCCCGCCCCCAACTTGATTGGAACTCCCAGCACTTTGGTTCTGTCTCCAGATTCCACACTGGGGCCTGCTGGTGGTAGCTGCTGGTCCCCGATCTTTTGGGCTTGT